ACACATTTTGCGCAGTTTGTAAACTAACCTTAGTGAATAATATGGCTTTCTCTCTTTACCACAGGAAAATAGATAGTACTGATGTGTTAGAACGAGAATCCCAAATGCCGGCAGTTTTTTTTCCTTGCAAAGCTTCGACCCTCGGAGGGCCATTTTTCCAAACCAGAATTACTGCCCCATTCTACTTATCTCTGCTATACACAGCAACATCACCGGAACTTCTAATGGGTTCAGTCACCTCACACTCTGGATTACATTTCCGTCCTATTTCACTTGATAAAAAATACATTTGTAATGGGATGTCACCCTTCGGTCTTCCCCTTGCTCTTATCCCTAAAACAATTTCTAAAGTATCTTTTACAAAATATCTAGACAAAGCCTTACACAGCTAATACATATGGCAGACCAAGCTGAATAGAACCGGTAAGAAAAATTAGCAAATGCAAACGAATACCTACCTTACAGCAAAAAAGGGTACAAAAGAATAAAAATCGAAATAATAATGATAATGATAATAATAATAATAATAATAATAATAATAATAATAGTAATAATAATAAAAAGAGTAAAAACATAATCAATTGATAAAATGTTTTACATATATTCTATCAGCCTTACCAAGTAGAAATCCACTTAAGTGTGTTAGAAAACTATCACATAATACCTGTTATTAAGCTCAAGGGCTCATGCGCCGCAGAACCCTTAGTAACACTATGACCGAAATGAAAAGGAGAGGGATTTACAATAGCAATTCATGTCCTTTACGTAAAGGAATAATGTTGCATTATATTGTATTTACTTCCAATTAATATTGCAGCAGTCAGTACCCACGGAGCATAATTCTGAAGCCTGAGTATACTACTCCTTGTAAATACATACAGTAAATTTAATGATAATATTCTCAAAAGTAAGAAGCAGCATGATTGAGACTCCTTTCTTAATACAATATATACAATATTGTGTGTACGTATTCGTGTGTGTGTTCGTGTCTGTGTGTGCGTGTGTGCAAGTGTGTAATCATTTTGCACATGTGTATACTAGGTACAAATTAATACAGATTGTCAAAGTAATTCTAAGAGATTCAAAGTAGATCTTTGATATAAACTGTGAAAGACTTACTTATGGTACTTCAATGAAGCTCAGACAAATATAAAGTCACTTTTTAACAATTGTCATTCTACTGCTAATGCTTTTTTTTTTTTTTTTGTGTGTGTGTGTGTGTGTGTGTGTGTGTGTGTGTGTGTGTGTGTGTGTGTGTGTGTGTGTGTGTGTGTGTGTGTGTGTGTGTGTGTGTGTGTGTGTATTATTTTTTGTTTTTTGCCTGTGTACATGAAATATGAAATATTTTCTTAATGGAAAAAAAAATAAACTTAAACTCTCTTTTCACCATTTCCTATGAATTACAAACCCTTTCCCTGTCATCAAAGCACAAAACTTTCAAATAAAAAAGTCCTCCTATTTATCACGCTTGCTCCTTTTCGTCATTATCAATAACTAAATACTTTGTAACTCTTAATATTTTGTCACTTTTCTTCAATCAACTTCTGGACCACATACCGCACAGAAATGTCATTATGTCCTTTGATAGTTTTAGAAACTAATACCAATAAATAACAAAAGGCGATAAAGACTAACTGTACAAAACAAAATCACAGAGAAATTAGCAATTTCAACATTTCGCATTCATATTCACTGAACAAATACATATGCGTATGCTATAGCCTGTAAGAATACAACAGCACACTATCTAAACCAAATAAATAAACAAATCTACATATAAATCATTAAGAAAAATAAAATAAAACAAATAAATAAAATAAAACGAAAAAAAGAGAAATCATAACCTCACCTCACAGGTCAACGAAATGGAAAACATTACTCCTCAAATAACGCAGAGACGAATTCACTCACATTATCATTTACGACACGGGGGGGGGGGGGGGGGGGGGGTTGGACTGGACCCCAAGACCAAAGAGGGGAAATAGAGTGTAAAGAGTGAAATAAAGCAGCAGAGAGGAAGATAATGAAGGGGAGAGGAGAGAAGAGAAGCAGCTAAGGGGAAGAAAATGAAAGGGAAGGAAAGTAATCATGCAGAGAGCAAGGAAACAAAGTGAGGGGACAAGGGATAAGGCAATGAAGAAGGGAAGAAATGGATCAGCAGAGAAAAAGGAAATGGAGGGGAAGGAAAGAAGTGGAGAAGAAAGGAAGAAAATGAAAGGAAAGTGGAAGGAAAAGAAATAAGGTAATGAGGAAGGAAATGCTGTGGGAAGGGATGGCATGAAGCTGAAAGGAAGAAATGAGACTGATGGAGAGAAATGAAGCAGCAGAGAGGGAGAAAACTAAGGGGAAGGAGAGAGAGAAAGGAAATGAAAGAAGAGAAGTGAAGTGGAAGGAGAGGAATGAGGCAGAAAGAGAAATGAAGTAGAGAGAAAGAACCGAGGAAGAACACGAAGTGGAGGGGAAGAAATGAAGAGGTAGAAGAAGAAAAAAGTAAAAGGAAAGGAATGATACAGAATAAGAGAAATGAGATGGAGCAAAAACGAAATGAAGCAAACAGGAATGATATAAGAATGAGGGGAATGACTGTAGGAAGAAAATTTATAGAAAAAAAGCAAAGGATGAAGCAGAGAAAAATAAAAAATAAATAGTAAAAATGGAGAAAAAAAAATCATAATAACAAACATATACATGAAAGCAAATAGCCTGATTGTACAAATGTGCAAAAAATGAACCAGAAAATCTATGACATTTTTCTTACACATAGGACATTGACAGTTCATTACTTGTGTTATCACTATTTCTACAAGGCTGTATCAGGAATTAGCAAATACTCCCATCACCCACACAACACGCAGATTTAAGCATTTGCAATATATATTACATATATATTTCTAAAACATTAAAGAATAAAAAGTAAATCAAAGGTTACTAAATTAAACATTCAGGTTTGCAAGGTTAGTGCCTAAATCAAATAAAATTAATAGAATATACCTCTCCTGTTCACTAAGACTCCATTTCTCTAAAAGCAGCCCTCAGCCTTCACGATAAATATCCTGAATCTATCCACACAATTCTCTACACGCGTATAATTTCTTGGGAGGAAATTTAAACAATAATCATATTTTTTCCAAACTAGCTCTGACGAAAGCTTGGGTTGATCTAACTTGCTCACGCTGCTTAAAATCTAATTAGGTCGTGACGATAGCCCAGGCATGGATCGGCACACACCAGCGCGCCCTGGGCCTTGCTGCACTTCAGTTGGAATTTTACCCGTTGTGAATCAGTTATTACTCTCCAGCAAAAAATAAATAAATGGAAATAACTGGACACAGTGAGAACCATTTACAGTACTTAACTCCTGTATTGACTAATATTAAGCTTTTCATTAAAAATATGAAAGTAAATATCATTCAACATGAGATATCATTTCCAATGTATACAATAAAGGAAAAAAAAAACATAAAAAACAACTGTCCATATCAAAGCCAATCATAACACAGGTCTTGGCTCCAGGAATACATTACCAACACCAAAATAAACAAACAAAATGCTATATCTGAAATGCAATGTAGTACAACATTTCAATTGTCTTTCTTCCTATTCTAGCAATATATATATATATATTTTTTTTTTCACTTACTAAACCTGCAAATGCCAAGGATGAGAATGCCTGTCTTTGTAAGTTTGAAAATTCGCTGAGGCTCTTGCGGCTCCAGGTCCATATAATTCCAGGGAAGCTCGGAATTTTGGCTTCATAATTACCCAGGAACGATTAATCTTATCCATCCAAAATACATAATCTTGTAGAAATGGATGCAATCAGTGTGATGGCCGACATGTTGAAGCAATTTGACACATGAAAGGAAAAAACAGAAAAAGACCTGCAAAAAGCACCTCTCACTAAATTACTAGCACCAACTAAAAAATCTGTTTCATCAAATTTCACAGTGTCAACCTTTACACTGTCAAAGTACATATCTGATCTGGTTGTCTTTGTCAGAATGTGCATTGTCGGCCATCTCAGGATTCCTTCCTTTTTCTTGAAGATTATTGAACAATATCTGGTAATAATAAAAATAATATATATTTCCAACTGAGATATACACACTTTCTTCCTTTTACTTAACCCGATATATGTAATTGGAGTCACAGTGCCATGATTTTGAGTGGATACAATAGTTCACAGTTAAAAGTATTTCTTCCAATATAGTGAGTTTCAAGAAAATACACTGACCTTTCAAAATACAGTGACATTTATCCAGCATCATTTCACCCAATCGGCTCTTTTTTCCGCAGATAGATCATAGGTAAGGACCGAATGCTGGCTGCCCTACAGACCGTACTGTCTTGTCTTGAACCTGCCCACCAGCTTGAAGGTATAATTATCAATTACCAAATCTTTAGGTCTCCCATGTCAATAAATCAAGGGAGTTATTTCATCAATATTTACAATTCCTGCAGCCACCATTTTCTTACCTCATATTCCAAAGTTTATCAACAATAAGGAGATATGAAATGTAAATAAATGTGATATGACATGACATGATAGGAACTATACAAAATACATACTGTGTTTGTGAATTACTGAAGTCAATAATCATAATAAAGATGTGCCCACCTGACTCCGCACCCCTCTTCTATGCTCACTCTCTGCTGTATCTTAAGTTACCTGGACAGTATATGACTCTTAAGCCACCAAACAGTATATTCTAGTCTTTACAGAACGAAAATATTAAATAAATTTGTCCTACGCTGCATCTAGTACATTCTCTTCTGAATAGTATGATATAAATATGTAATGCATACATATCCCTAACAACATGTCTTTTTACCTCCCCTCGCAATCTGTATATTGATGAAGCATGTTAACCCTATGTCGCCGGGGATGGCTTGTCCGCTGCGAGATTAGTTTATTGATTGTCTTTACACATAGATGGCTCCAAAAGTACTTTGTCATCAGTGAGCAAATTCCCATCTATCTCACCAATTTACCCTTTCCTTTAAATGTTTGAAAATAGTTTCTTATATTCTATATTGATATTAGTAATGATGATATCATCACAGCTCTACAAACTGACTGATCTGTGGCTAAGCACTTGTGGAGCAATCTAGGTTTAGAGACATTTCACAAAACAATACTACAGTGAACACAAAATTTTCCCAGCGGCATTGGGTGAATTTGTAACAGCATGATCTATAAAACAATTACAAACGGCTAAGTCAGCCATTATGATTCTAGTGAGGGCCTTAACTCCTAAATTTAAAAATATTATCTTAGAGGAGTTTGCTGCATAGTGGGAGTTTCATTTAATATACATATGTGTATGTGGTGGTTTTCCATTCAGTAATGATAATAGTTAAATAATGATAATAAGAATAACAATGATGATAATGAAAATGATAATGATAATAACAATAATAATAATAATAATAATAATAATAATAATAATAATAATAATAATAATAATAATAATAATACATAAGCATTTGAGAGAGAGAAAGAAAGAAGAGAAAGACAGAAACAGAGAGAGAGAGAGAGAGAGAGAGAGAGAGAGAGAGAGAGAGAGAGAGAGAGAGGGAGAGGGAGAGGGAGAGGGAGAGGGAGAGGGAGAGGGAGAGGGAGAGGGAGAGGGAGAGGGAGAGGGAGAGGGAGAGGGAGAGGGAGAGGAAGTGGGAGAGGGGGAGAAGGGGAGAGGGAGGAGAAGAAGAAAGAGGAGCAGATGGTGGAGAAGGAGAGAGAAGGAGAGAGAAAGAGAGAGAAAGAGAGTAAGAGAGAAAAGAGAGAGAAAGAGAGAGTAAAAGAGAGAAAGAGAGAGAGAGTGAGAGAGAAAAGAGAGAGAGAGTGAGAGAGAGAGAAAGAGACAGTGAAAGAGAGAGAGAGAGAGAGTGGAAGAGAGAGAGAGAGAGAGAGAGAGAGAGAGAGAGAGAGAGAGAGAGAGAGAGAGAGAGAGAGAGAGAGAGAGAGAGAGAGAGAGAGAGAGAGAGAGTTGTGTGTTCATAGAGTGTGTATTACAAGTGTGCGTGTGCATGTGTGTACATTTATTTTCATGTGTGCAGCAGGTATGGTGTGTTTGTAAACAGATCCAGATATTTAATACCTAAATATAATTGCAACACAGCTTTGGTATAAAAATGAAGTCCTTATTACAAAAAGAAACCAGGACAAAAGGAAAACAAAAGGGAAAATACTAATGAAAACAACAAAAGCTCAACATCTGAGTGTCACTTGCATGCCTGCTTGCACATGAAATGAGACACAGAGCTTGTATTCCTAGTGTAAGCTAGGGTTTAACCCATTACTGCCAGGTCACGTGTATAGCCCTCATAACAAACCATGTGAGCTGCCGAGTATGGCTATACATGTGGCGACGCACTGGAGTACACCGGCAGTAAGTTTTGCTACATGGAGTGGACGGTTGCCAGAAATCATCAGAGTCTATGATCTGAGAGATTTCTAATACCCATCACTTAGGGATTAAACTACATATTAAAAAAATAAACAAATTAAAAGAAATAAAGAATAAAAAATAAAAAAATAAAAAATAAAATAACAGAAAAAAAAACAAAAACACTGAAAAAACAATAGCAACAACAAATCAGGTAAATGAAAATATAATGTTATTGTCACTGACTCTCCCTGAACCTCCAAACCTTTGCTACGATGATAAATAAAGGAAGCTCGGCACAATGCCCCTTGAAAAAACTTCCGCCGGTACCTCATCCTGCTTCAGCTATTACAAAAACATGTCCAGTGTGTATGCTGAGGACGAGTGGCTCTCTGGATTACATTTCAAGTCTATTCTGAGAGAGACTATGCATGGAACTCGTATAAAAACTCTAAACAATTAACCCTTCAAGGCTAAAATGCAGCAGGTGTTTTTCTCCGATATGTGCACACTGGATGAAAATTGGTATAAATAAACCAAAAATATAATAGTCAAATTAGAACCATCTGATCTGAAAAAATTGTGTACTTATATACACATAAGAAAATGTTTTTCTCTTCCTGTGTACTTGGTAACCTTCTAGGGTTAATATCAAGGAGAAACACAAGTTATGTAAATCACAAACATTCAAAATAAAAAGATCCCATACAAGAGACTCTAACTGCTTATAGTGGACTACCGTGATATTCTATTTCTTTACAAAATACAAATATCTTTAAACTGTCTGTCAACAATAAAAAAAGAATAAGAAAAAAAAGAAAGTAAAAACATAGTTAACGAAAGACTGACTTCATCATTATGGCTACACCAGGATTATACAACAGCCTTTTAATCACTATCCATCTGAGACTTAACAACAGGGTGGTGAACTCTACAACTCTACATATTCACTTTTAACTTTTAACACACCTTCTCTCACAAACGCATTTCCTCTTTCGGCAGTTCACTCCAGCACCTCTGACTCAGTCTCCCTCTCGTTCATCTGGCGGGCAACATCTTTGTCGCAGAAGATCTTCAGCGTCTTGATGAAGTTCTCCGGTTCCTTAACATAGAG